CAGCTTGTCTGCCTTGTGTACTAGCATTGTGATGCAATTTGATTGTGGTTTGACTACTTGTGCCATGAACTGTATACACCACGACTTGTCTTCTTCTCCCCCGCAAGCAGCATTGCAAGTATGTCTGCCTGCCACTCTGAAAAGGAATCCCATATTCATTCGTTGTCTTCTCTGGTTATGAGCAAAGAATTGGATGAAGCACGCAGGAACAAAAGAATGGTATCTTTCAGCGATACGCAATGGTTCCCTCAATATGAGTAAAGGTTTGTTGACTTCGTTGCCATTGTGTGACTCGTTGCTGATTGTTTGCTTTTTCCTAGTTCCATTTTAAGGTCGGATGACGCACAGTGTTCCATTCAAGTCTCAATCACGACACAGTGAATCACGTCCTAAAAAAAATGTTATTGACAGGCGGAAACTCACAATATTGTATCCTAGTAGGACAATGCTTTTCGTGAAATTAAAGAGGTATCTCGTATTCAACGCTTTTCGAAATCATAGCTCCACCTTATGGTAGCTATTCCGCTCCAACTACGCTGTGCATTAATGTAACAAAGAGTTTAAGAAGGAAATCAGACTCAGAATTTCTAGCAAAAGCGCAACTTGCCCTCAAATCATAGACCAAGTTGACGCCGAGAAGCGTTTCCCGTCGGGTACTCCCTGTTGCATGAGCTTAAGCTCGGATGATGTACTCTGCGTTGCTGTGGTTGACCCTTCACAGCCCACTCAACGGTGATGATCATCAAGCAACAAAAGACTTCCTGTTCTGAACTTCTAAAAGTTGGAACTAATATGAAACACAAGCTAATCCATTTCAATAACACACAGTCGTAACGTCTAAAAAATAAGACGACGGTGCGTCAGATCTATCGGATATCCTGGAAGGTCTTCTGTAAGCGATGGTCCGTTTGGCGACGAAACTCCGAACAGGAGCTTGTTGTCTCGTGCATACTTGTAATCTAATTCTGCATCTGGCATTCCATTGTAAAAAGATCTTTTCCTTCTCGTATGTGAAGGGTAGTCGATATATGAACGAGCCTAACTTGGATGCTGTGCGCGTGAGATCTGACAAAAAATTAGCGGCTCGGATCTGCCTCAAGCAAAGCGTCGCGGGCGAGATGTACATTTCTAAATCGCACTCCTGTTATGGCTTCGTCAGAAATAGAGTACTTTACAGGGACAGGGATTTTTTTCTCCCAGAGCTAGTATGAAGTCATGCACAACCGAAATGTCGTTGTCGTCGCGTTGCTTAGGTAAATGTATTTGTAGGTCGGCATATAGCACCTCACATGCTTCACTGCCACGCTCATATGCTTGCAGGAGCCTTCACGTTTTCTCAGCGATGCCATTCCATCACAGGTTTAGCCACATTGACTCACATTAACTTGTCGCTTACACGAACACAAATAGGCATAATTGCATTGTGCGGGAGTAAACCGTTCTCGATCTACCCCATTTCGGACGGGCCTGGCTCGCATATAGCTGTTGACTACCATAAACTTGCCTACTCACTTGCCTGTCCTCACTCGGATGATCATAGCGGACCACGCTACGCCTGCATCTTTGTAGCTTCTTTGCTCGACAATGAACCCTCCACCGCCTCCGAACGAACCTGCTGGACAAGAGCGCCAGGGTTGGAACGCTGGTGCGTCTGCTGAAGGCGCTCCAATCTCCTCATCTGCCTCTCCCGCTTTGCCCGTGACCACCAATCCTTTTTCAGCTTCAGCTGGTAGTACGCCGCCTGTCTATCCGGTGTCAGGGCAATCCCAGCAGCCACCTAGCGATGTCTCGAAGCCTACAGAGCTCAGTAACTCTAATGTCATAAATTCTGCAAGACCGTCAATATGGGAGGTGCAGGCAGAGCGACTGAAAGCGGGTAAGCAAGTTGCCAGGGACGATGTAATCAGAATTTGTACGGACGATTTCGACCATTATATCATCATTCGGTGACAGGTGGGATTACTTCAGAAGACCAAGTCGCGATTTTGTGTGAACTGAGGGACCGGGTCATTGAGACTGCACTTGCGACGACAGGTAGGTCCTAAGAAGGAAACCTCCGAACCATGTTAGAGGAAAGACAATGGAACGAGGCTTCTTTAAATATCCTATCATCTTCCATTCTGAATGACGGGAATATTTCATGCGTACACTATACTTATCTTATCCTTACTCCAGTGGTGGAATATCCAGCTTTTCTGGAACACTTGCTCCCCGTCTTTGAATTGGTGCTTCAAACCGTGCCCGTTCAAAGCCTTGAAAATATGCAACACAAAATACGGTACGTCCCAGGTACCTTTTAAACTCCTCGTCGCCACTCTATCCGCTTCTGACAAATATGTGCCTCTAAGTTCGTTGCTTTATTTCATATTCTTCCCGCCTTACTTCCTCCGCGACTCGACCGCGATTCTTCGTGTTTGCCTCTCGTTCCCGACCTTCTGAAAATCTTTACTCCGCACCCTGATTTTGTGGTTCTCCACGCAGGCACTCAATTATTGACATGCTTGAACGCTTGCTTCCTTCGGAGACCCTGAAACCCTACAAGGACCGTCTTCTTACCCTGGCCCTCGAGATTGTCCGGAAGGACAACGAAGAGAATGCGGTGCTCGGTGCCAAGGTAACGCCTGTCCTCCACTGTCGTATGTAGATCAGGGCATCAGCAGGTTTAGCAGCATTTCTCATACCTTGTATGCCACTGCCAGATTCTTTCCAACCTTTTCAAAGCCTACCGAGGGAAACTTGAGAACCACGTCGAGCCTTGTTTCCTTCTGGTCATGGACATGTATCGGGTAAGTGACATGACTGAAGGGGGAAATGATGACAAAAGTAAGGAGGCTTGCATGGACCATCTGATTTTCACCCTCTTACACAATATAGCTCCTCCCTGAAGCCGTCACCGAGGCTTTCGCCCCTTCTTCTGCCTCGGCCCTGGAGGAGCAACAAGAGGAGGAGGAAAGCACCAGGGGTATGGCAGCGGCCTCTCCTACCTTGGACAGGCTCTCATCGGAAGGAAGCGCGCCTGGACACGGTAGTGGGCAATCAGATCGACGCAAGGGACCATTGCCGCTGGGAATGAAAAGCTTCAAGGTAAAGATGCTGGCAGGGAAGAGGGAAGTAAGATTTTGTAAGCGAATTGCCTCTGATGCCTCGTCTTGGTGTCTCAAAAGTTCACCCCTTTCATCGCTTCTATTCCCTGCCTCTTTATTCCTCTTCTCATTATTTCCACCTCCTTCCAGGTCCTGGTCGAGTGTCCGTTTTTGATAATGGTGCTGTCTTCCTACTACCCCTCAGTCCAACAACATCCGTGGGTGGCGGATTTGATTGGACTGGCTATCAAGGGATTAGAGCTTCGACCTCCTGAGAAGGTATGTGCGCGGGGGATGGATCTAATGGAAGTAGAGAGGTATGTGGGTGGGGGGGAAACGAGTACGCTGGCGTTCCGTTAGGAAGGGCAGAATCGAGAGGCGAATTTGATTTTTCTTCCAGTTTAACATTTCATATCTTCCTCAGGCGGCGTTGAAGCAACGAGTGCTCTTCCGGGAGTTCCTGGCTCTGCAGATCAAGACCGTCAATTTCCTGTCTTGGAATCGGCAGCATGTAAGCCTTTTTCCTTCTTGTTCTTCCCTCTGTCATCGTAGCATCGACGTCGCATTTTTGTCATCTCTCCTCCCCCCGCTCACTCGCTATTGCCATTCTTGTGACGTACTTTTCTTTCACCCTGAAATTTCGCAGGCCAAGCTGCTGGTTCCCTATCAGGACACTATGATTGCCTCCGCCGTCTGGCTCTTGCAGAACTGCCCCGGAGAATTCGCGAGCAACCGCAAGGTACACTCTCTTTACTGGATTCTGTCCATTTTCTCTTGTGTCGTTTGGCTTTGTGTATTCCTCATCAACCTTTTTTTTATAGGAACTCCTGACCGCCATGCGCTACATGATTCAAAGCGAAATGCGCGAGGGTTTCCTTGTTCATGGTAAGGTCTTCACAGTCTTGTTCATTCATCAGCCCCGATGGCCCCTAAATCGTGACGCTCCCTCCGTTTATCGACTCACATGCGCCATCAGTTGATGTCCTACTGGACGAAGCAACTCTGGAAGGGATCCCTCCATCGTCCTTAACCAGCTCGTCTTCCACTTCCTCCGCCGGCCGGCCTCACGATGCACTCCGCACCTCCTCCCTCAATATGCTGAGTGAACTGGTCTCACCCTTGCGTGAAAAGCTGTCGACGCAACAGGTGAGATTACGCGGATCAAGGAAGATGTTAAGTATTTTCATCCACGTCTCACGAAATGTTGACTTGACTTTGCTGAGCACATGCCGTCACCCTGCCCTATATATTTCTCTCAGCTTTCGGCCGTGGTCTACCTGTTCTCCAAGCATGTGCACGACCCCACGCTTCCCCTTGCGACTCAGACGCTTGCTGTACGCGTGCTTTTGCATCTAGTCGACAGCATTTGTCGAAATGCTTCGAGTGAGGAAGGGTTACAGCAGGTAGGACTTATTGGCTTTCAGCTCTTTGTTTATGTCTCGTGCCAGATATCGTACAAAAGGGAAGATAAAACTAGCAAGGGCCGTGTGAGAGGAGACTGCGCTATGAAGATAAATACCTTACTCGTCTTTTCTTCTCTAGGGCCGTCGTCTTCTGGTCTGGATCTTGCAAACCTTGGTGGAGAAATTTGGATCGCTGCGTACCTACCTTCCTAAGCTCGGTAAGACGACGTTTTTCTGTTGGGAAATGTCCATCTCACCAAGTATTGTCTTCCCCCATTTCTTATGTATTTTGTTGGCTCCACGTACGTCATATTCCTCGCTACATCTTCTCATGCTACAGAGGCGCAGGAACGAGTAAAGGCTATGGAACAAGAAGTTCACGATCAGGGGGCTTTGCGACAGCTTCCGTCTCCCTCTCCGGCGTCCTCTGCATCCTCTCCCTTTCATCGTCCCTTCTCCTCTCCCGTGCCGTATACAGCTGGTAATCTATCCACGCCTGTGACAGCCGCAGCACCGAGCATGAGTGCCAACCCGGGGTCTATAGCGTTTCGTAAACCCAATCCCGCAGTCATCGAGCGGGTTGAGCGGTAGGTGGATATGCCAGATCCTGTTGAAAATAATTTTCAGTTGCTCACGTATTGACTCGTGCTTTCTCCTTCTCTAATATTATTGTGCGAAAAATCCTATTTCTGCGTTTTAAAGCGTGGAAATGAACGAAAATCTACGGGCCGGAAAGGACTTGATTAAAACGATGATGGTTGGTTTAAAAACCGTGATATGGTGCCTCTTGAATCCCCAGCAGGTAAGCTGTCGTCTTGGATTAGCATAGATCGTCCTATTTCACCGAAAATCACTTTTTGATCGTCGTTGTTTGGTTTATTGGTGGCTTTTCTGTATATATATCAGGCAACCGCACGTGCCCAAGGTCAGCCTGCTCCTGTTGGACTTCAAGCGCGTAAGTCCCTCATTTTCCCTTTTAACATTCCTTTTACTCAATACGATGATGCTTCACATTGTTCCTCTGTCCGTAGGGGTTGCATTTGGGCCCATGGCTTCTTTTAACCAAAATATGCGCCTTAAATCTTCTCATTTCTCATTTTTCCTTTTTTTGAAAAGCGTCGCCACCCTTGCCCGCTGAGGAGACAGCCCTTCTCGTCAATTTCTTCGAATGGGCGCTCCTTTGTCTCCGCATCTACAGCAAAGCCACAGGCTCCACTGGGCCTGAAGCGAAGGAAATATTTGAGCTCTTTGTGGGGGCGTTACTGGTATGTTCACATTGTCGGTCAGGTTTTATTTGCCATAAGCAGTACTTTGATTTTCACGGACAATTTTCCTCCTTATCTTCTCGGAACACTTAATTTCTTTTACCTCCATCGATGATCAATTTTTTATTACATTCTTTACACATGGGATTTATTTTATTTACATTCTCATGTTAATGTGGGAGGTGATGCAACTTGTCCCATCGTCAATCAAGAGTATTCCTTATCCCTCCGCTCTTCTAATTTTTAGGTGATGGAGGCTCCCACTTTGCGAGAAGTCATGGGTCGCAATCTTGAGCTTTATTTTAATGTCGTGTTGCAGGTAGGTTGAAGGCAAAGCGAGGGGATGATCATTTCGCCAATTTTTGACAGTTGGACGCTTCCTTTACATGGAAACAGGACTTCCATTTCCTGGCGATCGCGCAACAGCTTGTGTCATCAAACAATGCCGGTATATACCTGTGTATCTTGGTGCTTCCCTCTCCTTATTTTTTTTCCCCCTGAAATATACCGCTCACTTTCTGCCATGTCTGGCCTCTCATTATTTTCAATACATAGCCGTATCCGCGTCCGTAGCCGACATGCTGGTACATTTTTTCCTCGCTCACATCGAATTGCTGTCCGGAGAAGACGACGGCTCGTGCCGTCCCATTCTTGTGTTCCTTCCGCCTTCCTTCACTCCGGATAACCCGTCTTCTGCATCACCGACTTCATCTCATGCTTCTACGGTGGCATCTACTCTTTTCCGCATGTTCTCTGTCGCCCTTCATTCCATCGCAAAATTTTCCGATAACGAGATAATCCTTCGCCCTCATTTGAAGCGACTTGTCCTGCTCTGCCAGCGAAATGCTTTATGGTACGAATTGTCCATTACACGTCTTTTCGCTGGATTCACGTTGCACGACTTAATTGTTTTTGAAAGTACTGATCAAGGCCAAAACGTTATTCGCATATACTCATAACAGTTATATTTTTTCTCTTCTTTTCTCACCTTTTTAATACAGCTGCCGACATCCTTCTCAGTACCTAAGTGTCCTTCGAGTCCTCTTCCGGATCATCTCAGGCGGGAAATTGGATGCGCTGATGCGAGAGATGTTCCCTTTGCTTCCTCATCTGTTGTTCGGTATGTAGCTAGCTATTGTAGTCTCATACTTTCTGCAAATGGTATCTATGCCCTTTAATGGGAAAGATTGGGCGTTGCAGCTTTGATCGCCTCCATTTCTCATTAATTTAATCTCGCAAAATTTATTCTCGTCCTTCAGGATTTTACAAACTTCATGAGCGCACGGAAGACGACACCGACGATCACGTGCGGGATCTGCTAGTAGAGCTTTCTCTTACCGTCCCTGCGCGCTTATCCTCAATGGTGCCTTTCGTAGCGCTTCTGATGCGAATGATTGTACAGGTTGAATGGGGGCCAGGGCGGTGCTTGGAGATGTTGGAAGGAAGATGGCATCAAACATGTACCATTTCGGCTTTGTGATGTTCCTTCAAGAATATGACTCTCTTCTGTGCGTGATGTAAATATGATTTTCCTCAATGTATCAATACCATACCTCGTATACTGATCTGCAGGCACTTCGTAGCAAGCCAGAATTGGCACACATCGGATTGCGCACATTGGAATTCTGGGTTGATAATTTGAACGTGGTAAGGCTAACAAGGCGAAATGATGGAGATGGCAGTACTTCTGACAGTCAAAATCGTCCTTCAGCATGCTTCTAGGTTTTTATCGGTTTCCGAAGCCGAATATGATAACTATAATTCTTAATCAATTTTCAACTCCACCGCTCCTTTTCCTTCCATTTTCCTCTAACAGGACTACCTGTGGCACATTCTTTCTCAACAGCCCACGATATTAAGCGACCTCTTCGCTGCCCTTTGCGAGCACTTGCGTCCTCAGCCGTATCCCTACGGGCACTTGGCAGCTCGACTTCTTGGTACGCTTCTCTGACGTTTTTATTAGATATGTAAGGTTTTCACGTCTCTGTTTATTTTTTGTTCCCTAAGGAAAATTGGGAGGGAGAAATCGCAGCTTTTTGAAGGAGGCCCCGCCCCCTCTGCCATCTCTAAACATGCAGGTATGGAGTAGAATCAAAAGGGAGAAAGAAACGGTGTGGCATTATTATGGTATCTTACGCTCGTCATACATGTCGTCACTGTTAGAGCCATTTATTGTATTTTTCTCATCTTCGGGGGTTCCAAATCGCAGGTGAAAAAAGGCCGTGCTGGAATTGGAGGTGGAAAAGCAGGAATTGGGATGGGTGGAGGCCTTTTGGAAACGCAAAATGGAGAAGAAGGGCTGATTGTGCCCCCTTCTATATTTGATGTCTCCACTAATGAGGCCTCATTTGGAAATGAGGAGGACGGGCATGTGCAAGAAGTCCTCTTACCTGTATTGTTCGATTGGAATAAGAAGGAAGGGGAGAAGGAAGCTCCTCCTTTTGCTTTGCCTTTGGATAGATGTATTTGCACAATAACTTCTTTATTGGATCGTCTGCTCCTACCTTCGTCGCCGCCTAAGTTGAATTTCGATGAGGAATCAGAAACTCGGATTGCAAACGATATAGATGGTGGAAATGAGATGAGCCTCGTGTCAACCAACTTTTTGTCGTCAGATGTGCTACTGCAAAAACACAAAGATGCGGCATGGAAGGTTATTGTGGCATGTGTGGCAGCTCTAATTGTTGAAGACGGTGAGATAGGAGGACCAGAGCGGGAGACGAAGGGATGACACGACCAATCTTGACACAACTTTATTCTTACCTCTACACGACATAGCTCCAGAACTCGTTTTCCCGGATCCGGACGGTGCTGTGAAAGCAAAGAAGAGAACTGTGCAAGATCGCTTTGCAGAGCTGCTTCACAGCTCCTTGCCACCTCCTCCACTTTCTCGCCCTCCCTCATCCAACGCACCTTCCACTGAAGAAGGAAAGAAAGAAGACGGGACAGTTAATGATGGAAAGACGGTAGACACGTCACTTCTTTTCAGTACCATCAAGACTCGACGCTGCTTGGAAAAAGGAAATAAGCTGCTCAGGCAACTTTTAAGCGTGGTCGTGAGTGCTTGTGCGGATGTCCACTTGGGAGCCCAAGCGCGAAAGCTTGCGCGTGGTCTCGGTATCCACTTTCTTCTAGTGATGGCGACGCATACCGAGAAATTGAAAAAGGCAGTGGGAAATACCGAGAAGGATGGGAAAGAAGAGGATATGCAATTAGAAAATATGCCGGGCCAAGCGCCAGAGGAAACGAGTGCGGAGGTGAGAGCTTGTCGCTCAGCACAAACTTCATCAAATAGGAATCACATCGTCATAGCTTTGCTCATTTCCTCCTTTATCATAATCTGTTACAGTACGAGCTCGATCCTCTTGTCTCTGAAGCTTCGCTAAATCCTCTTGTATTGAAAGAGGTCATTTTATTAGCTCTGGTGGATGCTCGACCTGGTGTGCAGGTAAAGATGATGAACGCAACATGCATAGAATCATTGAGACAAGTTCTAAAGCAGCCTGACTTCTACCCGCGCCATCAAACCTCACAGGATGCCGCACTGTGGTTCCTCAACTCTCTCGCAGCTCCTTCGACCACGTTACCCGTGCACCGCCACTCTCTTAATCCTTTCTTCGACGACCTACTCTCTTCCACCCTCCGCTGCCTTTACCTTAAACGGGTTCGCTCCAAGCTGGGCGCAGCTAAGGGCGTGAAAATTTTGTGTGAAGCAATGGGTGCTGAGTGGACGCGGCGGCATGAGTTGCAGGTGGTCAAGGACTTGTTTTTCGTCCTCAAGGTAAGGTACATGGGAATATAAATCGATACATGTCTTTTTGATCTGGTCACTGTTAACTCATCTGACTATCTTTCAACCTATCAATCCCAGGATCAACCGTATGATGCTTCAGCTCCTGTGGTTGAAGACATCATTTCCGTTCTCCTCTCCCTCCTTACGCTTTGCCACACTCATGAAGAGGAGGAAGGGGAAGCAGAGAGGGGAAAAAAGATAAAAGAAAAAGAAGAGATGTTGCGGCGGATTGTAAACTTGGTTGTTCAAGACTTGGAGAATGGAAAGCCTGCCGTTCGCGTGGGTGTGAAGGTACGTTTGTAAAAAAGGAGTGGGAGGCAAGAGGACAAAAATAGGAGCTCATTTTTCCTTCGTTTTCTGTAGGTCGTGCTTGCGCATCTAGATGAGCTACATTCCAAATCAAGGAAGGTGGAGGGGAGCACGAATGAAATTATGACGGTTTATGAAATCCTGGTCGACGGGAAAGACGCTTTGCTAAAACGTCTTCTGGAAAAGAAGGTAGGTGCCCGAGAAACGAAGCCCAGGACAAAGCTGAATACTCTCGAGAACTATGAACGCCCGGGCCACATAGAGCTTTCAAATTATTCATGAGCTTTTCCTACATACGTCTCAATCAACAATCTTTTTCAATGGCGTAGGCGCATCATGTCAACACAAGCAAAATTGCACTCATCGACGCCTTGACATTCTGTCTACGGACCACACAAGAGCCTGTAGTGCCTTCCATGGCTATCGCACCTCCTCCTGCTCAAGCTCCTCCTCATGTAGGCGCGGCCGATAAAGAAAAGAAGGAGATCGAAAGCCCCATGCCTGCCGCTTCTACATCTGTCCAGAAAAAGAAACGGACGGACTTGCCAACCATGGTGCGAGAGGCTGCCGAAGCTTTGCAGAAGGAAAAGGAAGAGCAATTACGACGGTGCGTTTTGACTTACATAGGTGATATATCTGCTCAAGACTTACTCCTATGTTTCTCTTATATCCTTCTATATCAGGGAGGAAAAACGACTATTTGCTTATCCGATCGTGCAATTATCAACGGAGCTGATGAAGCATTTGGTTGATGGTACGTAGACTTGGTGGATTGGATTTTCTATATATATATATCGATGCATCGGGTATTAATTTAGAACGTTTCTCACAATTGTCACATCTTTACTTCAGTATTTGATTCCTCTTGTCGTGAAGATATCGGCGCTACTGGTGGTGGAAATGCTGTTTCAGGTCCGCAGGGAGGTACGTCATGACGGTGTAAGACTTATAGTGGAAGAGGTACTGCATAAAAAGGAGTCAATGCTTTTCACCCATCCACGAGTGCTCGGAGAGTCGGAAGACCCAGATATGTGACCATGTGAAATTTCAGACATGACGTTCGCTGTTGAAAAAGATGTGTTGAGCTGATCGAATTATAGGATGCAATCGATGCTTCATTAAGCTCTGAGAATTTTGTGTTACTTCTCTTGACGCGTTTCGATAATCTTACCATTGGCTTATGTACCAAAACCGCAGGTAATATTGCTGCGATGACAGACGATCGCGGCCGTGGCAGAGGAGGTGCTTACGACATAACTCCACGAAAATACTTGGAGGCGCAGAGCAAGTAGGTTAATGGAACTAGATTTCTAACAGAAACTCCTTCTATGACTTTGCTCATGTTTCCTGCGTTTCAATTATAGGATGTCGGAGCATGTCAATGACATGTTCATGGTAGGCGAGCTTCCCCATGTCATGCAACTCAGATTTTATACGCTTCGGTTGGTGGCAGCGACTTTCCGAAATAAGCACGAGATCGCCTTTTCTGAAGTATGTAATGTAAATAGTCCCTCCCTCTTTATCTCCAGTTTCCATTAGAAAAATACTTACCGTTGGCATCACATATTCAATTACAGGAATTCAAAGACTTCAGGCAGCGAGTGGTGGTTTTATGCTTCCGAACTATCATCATGCAGTGCGATCCCGTGGCAGACGTGGCTTTGGAGGTGTGTTACTTTTCAAAGCTGTGTTTTTACCAGTACACTTACTGTAACATGTGTGAATGTATCGTCAGGTAGTATCTATAGGATCCTCCACCTTGCTATCCACTTCCTTTTCCCCCATTTTTAGACTCTTACTCTGTTGACAAGCATAAACAAGAACTTGCCAAAAGAAACGCTTCACAATTGCCTTCGTCCAGTTCTCAAATCGGTTCAGGACTATCGTTTGCTGAGTGTCGCCAGCTTAGAGGTAGGGATTATATCTGGAAAAAACGGGTTTGGATGCGAAACGTTGACGACGAGCCCTGCCTTCAGTAAATTTAAATTGTTACCCTAACCTCTTTACTATCATCATTCCGTTCACTAGGGCCTTCTACGCATCCTAGCTTCCCTGTCAAACCTATCATCTCGCCTCTTTAATGTCAATTTTCCCGAAAAGCTTTTGGAACATTTGCAGGTGCAGTATTACATACACGCTTGCTTGTGTCAATATCTACTTAATGATCGAGAAAAAAAGGTGTTCCCTCACATTTGGATTAAATTGACATATCTATGTGAATACTTAAGCGAGATATGTACTGCTTGTCGTATCATCTTGGTTTTTACTACTCCTTAGAGCGTTCGGCTCAGTTGTTTTATGAACTTAAGTACTCGTTCATCGCTCCGACCAAAACGTTGTGGACATCACATATTTCCCTTCTCTTTTTTTCCGCCCTCACCTGTTCAGAATTGGACGGAGCCGGAGGATAAAATTCTAAGTGAAGTCCGTGTAGGCATAAACGGTGCTGAACGTCCACCTATATGGATGGAACCGGAAATTGCAGCCTCGATTCTTCATCTCTTCCATCTCATAGAGCCCGGACCAGTGTTTTGCGAAAAGGTAAACAACATAGATCGCTTTCGTGTTTCGTCTCTATTCTTTTGATCGCAAGAAAAACATAAGTCAAAGACAAAGAATCATTCATTTCGTTCACGTCCCGCACAGTTTCTGGCTCCTCTTGTGCAGGTGACCATCGCACTTCAAAATGTCCTCCCTAAGTACCGGTATAATTATCCGTCCGCTCCGGCCGAAAATGCCGCTGCCTATATTCAACGTGCCATGGCTATCGCTGCCGCTGCTCCTTTGCCCTTAACGACGGGAGCAGCAGCCACTGCAGCAGCGGTTGCAGCTGCACAAAAGAAGGAAGGTAATGAGAGCGTTGAAATGAATATTCCAGAGGAAGGCGAAGAAGGATTTGTTGCAGCCTCTCCCTTCGTAGTGCCCTTGGCAAAGTTTTTGAATCGCTTTGTTGCCGAACCGGACTGCTCAGATCAGGTAAAGTACCATGAAAAATAGTCATTATTACCTGCGCAGCTTATCTTCGGGATGCGTATTGCCGCTATGGATGTAAGCACTTTTTTAAGTTGACAGTATTTCTTCGTTTATTTCATCGTTCATTCCTAGGTGATCGCTTTTTTCTTAGAGCCTCGACAGCTTGCCTCCGCCCCGACGCTCCAGCTTCTCACAAATGTTCTTCAAACGCCAGATGCTGAAGACTTCCGTTCTTTATTTTTTAGTGCACCAGGTCTACACTCTCTTTTGACCATTGCTTTCGGTTTGGAGGGGGTACACTTGTATGGGGAAGTAACAAATGAAGGTCTACCCGAATGGCCATTGCTTAAACCGCAGAAAGACACGTGGACCGTGGAGAAGTTGAAGGAGGAAAGGAAGCAGCATGACACTGGTCTCCTCATCAATCATGGGCTCATCCTTTTATCTACACTTTTGCGCATGGAAGGAGACAAGGGCGATGCGGATACGGGTGGGCTGCTGGACACTGGGAGTACACCCGTCATGCAGGCTCTGAGGTACCTGTGGTCGCTCCACCGCACGTCTTCTCCGTCCTACTACGGAGCGCCTACAACACACCCTCCTTCTATACTCGATGTTGCCCATACACGGGCTCAGGCAGACCAGATCTTGATTTTGAAATGTCTACTGCAGTATTCAAAGACCCATCCGAAGGACTGTCAGGGGCTGGTGTCCTTGCTTGAGATTTTCACACGACCAACTTTTACGGGTACGAAAAAGAAGTGGTGGGACAGTTTACATGAATAGTCAGGATGAAGAATCACTCAGAATCAATCATTATCATCCTCTTTTCGTACAGACCTCACCTTTCTGCGCGATTTTTTCCGGAAGGACCTGGCATTGGACGCTTCGGCCGATACTAAGCGCTCCATTCTTTCTTCTTTCGTCTTCGAGATCATTCCTTCACCACATTACTCCTCGCAGCTCAAAATACTCACCCTGCGCCATCTCATCCTGCCTTTATTGGCAGCGACTTTCGAGAGTCCGGCGATCGCCAATGGTGAAGTCGTGGAGAGCGCGGTGATAGATGGCCTGATTCAACATGCTTTTCACCCCATCCATTTCGATGCTTCTCTCGGGGGGATGAAGGAGCATACATTCAAGGAGGGATCGCCTTTGCTCTATAGTAACGGGTTGCTTGTCGAGCTTCACAAGCTCGCCACGTTGCTGATTGAATACATGGGACGGTACGCCAGTAGATGGAGCAAGAAAGGGGCATGATTAGTCAGACCGTTTCAACATGCTCATGTACTTCTATACTCCTCCTTATCTGTATGTCTAGGGAATTCATGGGTCACAAGAAGGAAATGTTGAAATTCGCTTGGTCATTCCTGAAACGTGAGGACGACTCGCTGCTCCGTCATTGGGCCTACATTCACGTTTGTCGTCTTATTCAGGTACGGGGGTCTGCGAAATTGTTACCTTGAAGCGACGACCTCATGAACTGATCCACTCTATTATCTATTCTTAAATCGTAGGTTTACGAAATTCTGCCCCCCCTCATCCTACAAGTATACCTCTTTCTGCTGAAAGCCTACCAGCAAGATACGCGCGAGCTTGTTCGCACGGCTCTTGAGATTCTCGTCCCTGCGCTTCCTCGTCGGCTACCTCTACCTGACTATCAAAAGGCGGTGCGGTATACGAAACGGTAAGTTTTTAAAACACCTTCATTTGCATCAATCATTTCTTTCTCAGTCGACATCGCGCTTGCCTTGTCTGCATCGCAAACGCCCTTATCTTCGCCCTGACCCCTTCTGTTTTGCCCTCCTTTCTTTTGCAGTGCCCTTTTTGAGGATGGGCTTCACACTTTTCAAATGGCGCATCTCGCTCATGTTCTGGTCCAGCATCCTCCGCTCTTCTATCCTTACCGCTCGTCTTTTGTGCCTCCGCTGATCACGTGCGTGCAGAAGCTTTCCCAGCCCTCCGTAATAACCACCGATGTTCGGCAGCTTGGCGTAGCTCTTTCTGACCTTCTCATCGCCTGGGAAATACATCGACGAGAGCGTGTGGCCGCAGCAGTGGCAACATCGGGGGCAGGCGTAGCGACAGGAACAACTGTTACGAAGGGAGCCGGTGTAGGAGTGGGTAACAAGCGTCCTGCAAGCAGTGATATGGACGTCTCATCTCCCGTCGCGGAAGGTGCTGGGGGCGAGAGCAATAAACGTGGCAAAGCAGATAGCGGCTCACCCTTTTCTCCTGCGGTCTCTTCTCCAGCAGCAGCGCCTGTTCCGCCGTCTTCGACTACATCTGCGGGTTCGTCGTCCTCGGGTGTATCAACGACAACCACGAATCATGATGACGACAGTGTACCCGTCTTTGGTCACGTTACGCAGATGGAAGCTGTTTTGAACTTCCTTATCAAGAATGCTATTGCGACGGCGGATTCTCGCGATCCCCAGAGCGCTAGAGTCTCCGCCCGCTCTTTGCACTACATCGGCTCTGCCTTGTCACTCTGGGCGTGCCCTGAGCTTCGTCTTCCATACCTTGAACGCGTCCTCAGCTCAATGCCGGAGACGATTCAATCCACCTCAGCCCCCGCCTCATCTGGAGTGGTGCAACAGGGTGGCAAGGAAATCACTCCCCAAATCCTCATCTGCGTGCTTGACATCTTGCTCGCTGTGCTTGAACACGGTCCTCAACCTGCCCCTTTTGTCTCTCAAAATGTTGGCCGTGTCGCGCACTTTTTGGTACCATGCTTTAATGCTTGCTCTGGAGAGTCCGAGATTCGAAAGCGTCTCACTCGTGTTCTTGCTTTGATCACGAAGTGGTGGCCTCCACATGATCCATCCCCGGAATTTTTAGAGCCGGGAAGCGGTGGAGTACCGGGAGTCAGCTTTTACGTGCGGATGAAAACGATCATGGAGAAGAAGATCTATCAAGCGATAGAGACTGACAGTGCAGGAGGCAACAAAACTGGAGGCCTGGGTCCGCAGCAGCAACAGCAACAGCAACAGCAACACCAGCAGCAACAGAAGGACACGGGTCGCTGTTCCGCATTTCCCATCGTGCAGATTCTAGGCACCATTGTCAAACAAGCCTCGGCTTCAGCTGTAACCAAGATTTCCAGTGATGGTGGGATAGCCGAGAAAGGGAGCGGTACAATGGCGCCTTCTGCGGTCCCGAATATCAATCAAGCTGTCCTTGAACCGTACTGTTCTATGTTGCTCAAGCTTGCAACTCATCTCACGCGGCATCACACGGCAAATGCCCTCATGAATGCTCGGCCGGGGATAGCGCAGCTTCAGTTCATGGCAACACCAACAATGGCGATACTCGACGAAGCGCTCTCGATAGCCACATCTACCGCAACAACGGTTTCAACCGCTAGCAGTAGTGGAAATGCATCGCCTTCTTCCGGTGCTTCTTCGGTAATGAAGCCCCCGGATGAGGCCATTCAAACCCTGATCCGTTGTATTCAGCTCACCGGACGATGCATAGGTGCCAATCCGATGAAACTGGCGGACCAACGGAAAGCGCTTTTGGCTGTAATGGGTGCTTGCTTGGATAAGTCAGATTCTATACCGCTTCTTCTTGCCATCTACCATCTTGTCGCAGAATGGACCTTGGGATACTCTCTCCGCACTATTGTAGAACAAGAGGATAATGACAATAGGGCAGCGGATAAGGAGAAAGCGGAAGATGAAATATATGAGGTAGAGATTGATGTGAATTTGCGGGCAGTCCTACAGCAAAAGGAGAAAGCTGCGCTTCTGGCGAAAATGAGCTTGGCCCTGGAGCGGTCGCCAGAGGTGGTCTCTCAGCCCTTGCACGCCGTTCATCATCGGTTTGTCCTTCTGTTTCTCCAACAGCAGCAGCAGCAGACGCAGCCTAATGTTGCACCGGCGCCCTTGCGAACGGAGGTCGTTGATTCTGCAGGACTGACAGGAGCTAGTCCATCTGTAGCATCTGCAGCTCCGGCACCTGCCGACATGGATGTTGAGACAACAGCTGCCATAAAGACGCAGGGTGCCGCGTCGACCATCTCGCCCTCTCCTGTAACGGGTCAAAATGGAGAGGCAGGCGCCACCGAAATTTCCAGTACCTCGTTACCAGCCGCACCTGGTGCTCTCCCTGGTGCCACAGTCCATTTCTCTTCAGCTACTTCATCTGTTCCTGTTGCGCCTGCCAAGCTGTCCGCTGGCCCTGTTCCACCGTGGGTGACGCAGGCAACGGCGCGATCAGTCACCGCTGGGCTAATAACTGTCGATTATAGACTCCGAGAGCAATACACGAGGATGTTTTATGATCCTCAAATTGGAATGCAGGAAGGTGGAGTGAGTACACACCCTGGTGAGAGACTCACTCATCTTCTTTGCAAAGCTGAATGGGACGTCGTGGGTGGACGCTACTGGATTGTGGTCTTGGTAGATTTGTTGCTCAGAGCATTGTCCCCAAATAGTGCATCTCTGCAGCCTGTGAACCCGTCCCTGATTTTGGCAAGGCCTTGCCTAGCAGCTGCAGAAGGCGGCACACGGACGTCCTCCGACGTCGTCAGATTTTATCTTGAAACGCAAGGGGAGCTGAAGACCTCAAAGGAGGGTCTTGGGCCATCCATTATTGCCGCTCTTCGCCTGTTGTTGCATGCGGATCTGACAGTTGTGAGAGGATTGTGGATTCCATTGCTACGCAACGCCTGGAAAGCTCTGAAGCCCGTATCCTCCCCTCCATCGGCGACAAGTACCGACGCACCCTCTATGCCAGTGTCTCCTTCCACAGATTCTGGCACGCCAGATGAAAGTTTTAATGCCCTTCAAAACGATCTCGTGCCCGGTATGGTTTCTGTCCTGACTCGTGGCTCTCACAGGCAGGCCCTTGTGCTCCCTTCCTATCACCTTTCTCCGGTGCAACACCAGATAAATACCGTGCAGGGACTCCTTCACGGTTTTCTTTCCCTAACACCCATGCCCAACTTGCCACCCGATTTGTTGGGTGCCCTTGCAGTGAACTATAACGCGTGGACTACTGTCTTGCCTTTAATAGAACATCAAGTTACCTCTGTAACTGGGTCGGCGGAGAAACAGCCTTGGATACAGGTCTTATCGACTATCTACTACATGATGGGCGAGCACGACCTCCGGGCGGCGATGCGAAAAAGGTTTTGTGCCTTACCTGAAAGCAAGTATGCCTTGTCGTTGGAAATGTACGGAAAAGTGCTGGAGGCTCAGCAAGCCTTTTACGAGCTTATTCAGCGGGACGCTCTCGGAGGGCGTGGAGGAGGCGCAGGTGGAGGTGTTGGAGGGACGACAAGCTTTCGGGGCTTAGCACAGTTTGAGTTAGAGCTTTGGGAAGAAAGGTGGATAGAATGCAGCAAGCAACTTAGTCAATGGCCAACGCTGGGTGAATTTGCTGCTTCGACAAAGCATCCTGAGCTAGCCCTGGAGTGTGCATGGAAAAGTGCGGATTGGGAAAGTGTTCGATCGCTTCTACAAAGCAACCAACTGATCCTCCAGCAAGAAACTGGGAGCCCTGCGCATCGTGTGCATGAAGCGCGCCTGGCTGTGGCGGATGGAAGACCTCCTGTAGACATTGACCGGTCAATCGGACAAGCGTTCCAATTGGCTCTAAGCAAATGGCAGCTACTTCCTCGTGTCTACCAGGGCTGCCCATCGCACAAGCCTTTACTTCACGTCATGCATCAACTCCACGAAATCAAGGAATCTGTTACCATTATGGATGATGCGGCGATGAAACGGACTCCCGGCGTTGTTCGGGATGGAGGGAGTGGAGGAGGATTAGGAGGACCTTCGCCAGGCGCTGCCTCAGCTACGGCGACACACCTGCACAATTTGGTACGGTTTTGGCGGGATCGACTTCCGAATACATGGGATCCACTCAATGAGTGGGATGACGTTCTGTACTGGCGGCTGCAAGTGTTCCAAAAGGTTCAAGAGAGGAGGCTGGCAGCTGCTGGTGGAGACTTGGCTGCTGCTGCGGCCATGAATTCCTCGGGAGCAGGAATGGGACCTCCTGATCCCGCGCGGCTGGCGCCGGAATTTCAAGACACTGCCTGGACGATGGTGACCCTCGCCAAAGGTGCGCGGAAACAAGAATTGAATGACGTGGCCCTTAACGTACTCTGCCGCATCCCCATGGCCACCATGGCCGTGTCGGATGCATACGGCAAGCTCCGAGAGCAGGTAGTGATTTGTTACCACGCTCTGCGTGCGGTGGGGTCTCTGGGCTCCATGGCATCAGATTATCTTTCTGGAATTCTCCCTGCTGCTGTCTCGAATGCCGGCCTAGGCAGCGTTCCTTTGACGCCGTCCAAGCTGGGACAGGCGGGGTTGAACATTATCAACCACACGAATATCGAATACTTCGGAGATGAGCAGACGGCGGAACTCTTCCGCCTGAAAGGTCTCTTACTGGGTGCGGCGGACCTGCGAGCCGATGCGAATCAAGCTTTTAGCCACGCCGTGCAAGTGTGTGAAAAATATGGGAAGGCTTGGTTGGCCTGGGGACGGTATTCAGATGAAATGTTTGAGAAAGAAACGGCGCAACGGCTCTTAGCCTTGAATGCGATGGCATGCTACTTGGAGGCGATCCATCACAATGCATTAGAGGCCCGTTTGCTCTTGTCTCGGGTACTTCAAATGCTTCTGGTCGACGAAGAATCCGCAGCGCTTGTCCTGGATCGACACGGAAGAAGGCTGCCGGACTGGATATGGGTTCCCTGGATTCCTACACTTATCGCCTTCCTCACCCGCCCTGGCGCTCAAGTCGTGAAGGGCATTCTCAAGCAGGTGACCAACAGCTATCCACAGGCAGTGTACTGCACGATTCGCGCGTATTTTATCGAACGGCGGGACTTGCAAAGCTCTCTTTTACCGCCCTCCACCACGCAGTCAACGACCTCTGTCACATCTTCTGCACCAGCAGCAAGCACAAGAAGTGGCACACTTTCTTCCGCTGACGCTGGCGTGGCTAGCAATACTGAAAAAGCTGTGATTGCTCCTTCCATCGCCAATGGTGCCGCCACCACCGATGATCAGAAAGTTCCACAAAGCTCAACTGCTCTTGCAGGTCTACCACCGCAGCTCGCGGCATGTGTAGACTTAGCCACGGGAACCTTGACTCAGCCTGTGATCCTGCGCTATTCAAGTCAGCCAGGACCTTCTCTCGCAACACCTCAACAGCAGCCTGGAACATCTTTAGTCGCACAAACTGTAAAAGTGGAGGCGGGTCGTCCTGTGGCTGAAGTTCGTGGGGCGTTGGACAAGGGTGCCATTCTACTCAACTTGCCGCCACCTTCTGCGCCTGCTGCATCTGAATCAGCAGCTGGTGGGGGTGTGAGCGGAGGGGGAGGAGCGACCCCGGCTCCGATACAGGAGGTTGGTGCCTTCCAGCATGCGGAGGAAGTAGTAAATCAATTTCGCAAATCCCATCCCAGCTTGGCCCACGACATGGAATTAATGCTGGAAGAGATTATTGTGCGTTTTCGCCCCAAGCAAGAAGAAGAGCTGCTGGGTACATTACATACATTGCTGCGGCGATGTTTCCAGTCTATTTACATGCACTTGGACGATCCCATGCCTCATAGTCTTCGTGAAACTCTTCTGCGAGTTTCCAAGAAATTTTTTCGCTCCTCGGGTCCTTATCTACCTTCAACCAGTCCATCATCGCCTGTGCTGGCTGAAAATAGCGTCAGCGCAAAAAAGGCCGCTTTTGTCAAAACCTTTAAGGACGCATTTGAGAAAGACTTCATGCTTGTTCCCCCATTCGCCCCGGCACCGCCAGCAGAAGGTCATCCCGTGCCAGTAGAACCGATGTCGCTGCATAGAGTTATCTTGACTCTTCGAAAATGGAAACAACTCCTGCTCTACTGCATTTTGAAAGACCAGCATACGGCGGGAGGGACTTCACCTGTGGAGCAGCCTCTCGCCCTTTACCAGTGCAGTCCACACCTCGCCGCCATGCGCTACGAGATACCACCCTCCGTTCTCCGAACTTCGGCATTGTCGACTTTAGGTTCGAGTAGCAGCAGCGGAAGTGGAAGTGGGAGCTCGGCTGCTGAAGCTGCTATGAAAATGGGCCTGTCAGGAAGCTCTGCAGTGACGACGACACCGGTGGAGATTCCTGGACAATATGCGACCTGTCCCGGGCAACCATTCCCAGACATGCATGCAAAGCTCTTGGGATTTGATCCCAAGGTGGAGGTATTTTATCGGAATCACGCATTCCATCGTCGACTCTGTTTGTTAGGCAATGACGGACGGAAATACTACTTCGTGGCGCAAGGTGCTACTCCTTACACGACTCGTTCTGATGAACGCATGATGCAATTGTATTGGCTGCTAAATCGGCTGCTTGAAAAATCCAATATGGCTCAGCGCCGGTCTATCGCAGTGAGTATCCCTGTAGTAGTACCTATCACTCCACGGTTGCGTCTGATGGAAGACCATCGCTTATTCACCTCTTTGGGAGAGGTTTATGAGGCGGAACGTCATGCCAAAGGCCTGGACCCAGATGGTCCGGTGATGCTACGACGAGAGAGAGGCTCCGTCGCTATTTCATTGGCCAAGCAGGAGGTGGATGCCGAAGTTGCTGCAGAGCAAGCTCGACATACGATAGCTGTTCAAGAGGCGACAAATGCAGGGCTGCCCGTTCCACCGGCTCCGGTGGCTCAGTCGTCAGCTTATCAGACCAAGATTGAGAAATACTTGCGCCGGGAACGCTTGGCTGTGTTCCAAGAAGTGACGCGTCCTGGAGGACTCGTTTCGAAGCACATTCTTACGCAATTTGTGCATTCGACACTTGGCGGCGAACCTGAAGCTATCTGGTCGTGGAAGCATACCTTTGCCCAACAACTGGCTGTGTCGAGCCTTTTTTGCTTTGCTTTGAGTTGTGGAGAGCGCACACCAGGCCGCCTCATTTTCCATAAACTCAACGCTACAATCCAGTCAGCTGATTTGCGGCCCGGATACGGAATTCGAGGCTATCTAGAGAGCAATGAAGAAGTTCCTTTCCGCCTGTCTCCAAATCTGATGGCTGTCTTCTCCCCGTTTCTCGTCGATGGTGTCTTTGTCCCGACCATGGCGGCGGTCGCCCAGGCTATGACACAGAAGCGAGAATTTATTCAACCCTTTTTGCATCTAATGCTCAAGGACGACATTTTAGCGTGGAATATGTCAAAAGCGACGATGCCTCGCGAGGCCATGTTAGATCAGAAGAAGATGGAAAGTGTTCTTGCCGACCGTGTCAATCGTAATGTGCTAAAAGTCTTGGAGCGCCTTGTCGTTTGTGCTCCAGCTTTACCGTCCGAGAAGCACCCGTTTGTCTCCCCATTGCAGCATGGGGCAGGTACCGGTGGGATGAGCTCCGGCATGGCGACAATCGGTGCCGGAGGGGAAATGATAGACGCAAGGGCGACACTACTCGTGGAACGGGCGGCAAAGCACGAATATGTGGCGCAGATGGCCCCTACATGGCATCCGTGGCTCTAAATGAAGTAAAAAAGCTCTTTATTAATCCTGACACTCAAACGTACAGCGGAGGATTCGAGGCCGTGCGAACATATCCGGATTGATGCGCAACCCTTCCAACAAGCATACGGGTAACGCCCGACGTCTTGACCTGGAATCGCATTTATATGTGAAGAGATATTAAAAAGGAGTGCAGATGCTAGACCAAGATGATTTCAAGGCGAAACAAGTTTACAATAAATCAACATGTTCTGTTCAGATTCGCGTATAGAGCACACTACACACGGAGCAGCAATATTTGTGAGTGTTGCAGGCAGAATGACGAGGAGTCCTTTCTTTGGCGGCTCTAGCGCTGCTTTCAAATCGCTTTCCTCCGAGTATTTCTTTCCAAATCTCTCCTCTCATTCTGTACATACGCCTTTTGTTTGCACATTTTCTGGAAACAAGAATTCGTAGGAAATCATATCTTAGTCGGACATCGCATTTGCGTCCCCATTGCCCCCTGTCCCGGTTCCAGCAGAAGGCGAGGTAGCAGCAGCTTCTGTCACCCAATTTGATCACCACATCGTCGGTTCAATTTACATTTGTTGTGGGGGGGGAGGGTAGGGGGAAGAGACAGGTTTGTAATTGCCACATTATTTGAACGCTCAGCACGTCGTCTTCCAAATTTCTATTGCGTACCTGTACCTACGCGTCGCGGTCCTGATGTTGAGCTGATAGACTGGGAAGTGCTTACACTGTCGCCACTGTCGGTAAGAGGGGGGACTTCTCGCTGTCTCTCAAGACCTAAATGACGACCAGAAGCCACATGAGATTATGAAGCCGATATGTCCGCACTTAATGTTGCCTACTCTCGCACTGCTCAAGAACGCAATCCGATGCAATGTATACAAGACGTCCAATCTTCCCCGACACCATTAACATCACGACGAGGAGACAGAGAAAGAGACAGAAACATAAAACCCAGGCCTTACTCACCTCCGTGGCCATGGCGATTGGTATTCTGCATTTTGCTCCGGTAGACCGTGTGGTTATGACCCAGTCTGGGACACACGAGAGAAGTGGGGGGCAAATAAAGAATGAGAAAACAAAAGAACAAATCGAGGCAGAACGGGAGTCGATTCATGGCCATCGACAGGGCGAATGAATGTGTGTGCGCGATTCACTGTCCAAAGAGAGCCCACAAGAAACTTGACATGTTCAGGCTTCATAGACTTAGCATCCTTCCCGGCTTCTGCCCTTTCATCGTCCTGAACGCACCCAAAGAGCTCTCCCTTGAATTTCTCATCGCTGAGATTGTTGAGGCCATCGAAAGATACTGCGCAGAGACGGAAAAAGGTTTGAGCCGTCAGGAGGGAGTCACTGCCTGCTTGGTGCATGGGCCCCACGCGGGCCACTGAGAGCTCCTCGGCTGAGGGAAGGAGGGAGGAATCGAGCCACGTGCGAGATCATGAGTCGAATGAAGTGATGCAAGGTGAAGGGAAGGAATCCCTTGGTGGATATTCTACCACGGGACAGGAAGAGGAGGGACAAGGAGCAGATAATACAAGCGCGGGTGAGATGAGGGGTGGCGTGTACCGATTCTTTGCAAGCCGCCATGGAGCCCCTGGCAGGCCGTCATCAGATACTTGATGTCGTAAAAGCACGGGAAATAGGTACGCAGGAGGTCAAAAAACCTGGAGGGGGAAGCGAGGGGGGATCCGGGAAGTGAGTGAGGGCGAAGTGCGGGGCAGGGCAGGCGATGGGCTGCGTCAAGATGGCCCAAGCGCGCTGGAGGTGAGGAAAGCATGAGAGATAAAGCAAGGCTCCGACGCCGCCCAGCGTCTCAAAAAGCAAGGGAGGGTCCCACGCACCCGTTCTCGTCCGAGGGCAAGGCAGCGCAGGTCAAGACCTTGAGCAGGTATCCGAAATCATACCCGGAGTGGAACGAGATCCACCGCACCTCGTCCATCAGCACCAAGCCGCTGGTCATGAGGAGCTCGCCAAAGCGGAAGACATCGATACCGTGGGACTGTATGATTGCAGCGCAGCAAGGGGAAAGTCGGTCGAGAACAATTTACATCCTTTTCTCTCCCTCCCTCCTTCCTTCCCTTCGTCCCTCCCCCCCTCCCTCCGACTGATGCCCCCCCTCTTCCGCACCTCGTGCTTCGAGAAGTCGATCCCGCTCTGCTTAAGAAGCTCGATCGAGTCCTCCGCGTAGATGTCGTCGGATAGGGAGAAACGGAAGTTGAATTGCCAGGTAGGGCACTCAGGGGGGCTGTTGCCGTCCGAGTCGGCGAAGGAAAGTCCGAGCTGGATGATCTGAGGGGGAAAAGGGAGCAACCACCACCAGAAAAGGGATAAAGAAGGTCTAACTACAAGAGTTTGTCACAGAATGGCGAAGGATACAGCCTCAAAAGACAGGAGGGATTCGTGAGGAGGAGGGCCCGATGCAGACGACGGACCGCCTTGTAACCTTCCTAATTTTACTGCCTACTACGCCTCTCTCCCCATCCACCCTCCCTGTTCCCCACCTTCAGCAGGTCCACGTTGCACTTGAGCGTCTTGTACTGGTAGTCTGACGCCGATACGTCCCCCACCGGTCGCGCCACCACGCCCGGGAACTCGGTGTCCATCGCCACGTACGGGTATTGCTCCACCACCTACCGGGCACGGCATACATGAGTGGATTTCGATTCGCAATGAGCGGGCTTATACAAATTCATCAACATGTCTATCGTCCTACTTCCCAATCCTCCACCCTCCTTTATGCTCTGTTCTCTTCCCTCCGTCGGTCCTCCCTCCCTCCCTCCCTCCCTCCCCGCGCTCTCTACATACTTCGCGAACAGCCACCATCTCTTTGTCGAGGTTCTCCAGCCAAACCTCCCTTATCTCCATACGCTTCCCATCTTGCCCAGTATAAATGTGTCTGGTGGGTCCTACTCCCGGAATTTCGCCTGTGTGGATGGGGGCAAAGACGGATTCGTCAGAAAGGACCTGTCTGGCCTCCCAGGGCACGATACATGGGATACCCGCAAGTTGACGGGCTGCGAGGGAGATCGGAACTCACATACCTTTTTCTTCGGCGCTGCTTTGCGGGCCTCCATTCATGCCAAAGCGTTGTTGCGGCTTCCCCTTGTCCTCCCCCCCTTGTCCTCCCCCTTCCCCCCCGCCTTCCCTCCCTTGCGCCGCTTGGGATTGACCACCTCCTGTGTCTGATCCGGAGGGAGCTGGTGCCGGTGCAGGTGCCTGCTGCTCTTCGTTGGAAGAGGTGGCGCTGCTTGTCGGGCGCCGCGTGAGAAAAGAGGCTAGATGCTGAATGGTGCCTTGCTTCTTTGAGTATCAAAAAGAATTTCTATGGCTGCGACCCAGTCTCGTTTGAGTTTCCTGGGTCTTCCCGCTCTTTTCAAGGGCCTGTGAGCAGAGTGTGGGTGTTTTCAATGCATCATCGTGGATTTCGACGGCGATTTGTGAGTAATCCGCTCAGGATGAAAGGCGGCTGCGAGGCAATCAGTCCCGCGACAAAGCGGACAGTATGATAACATCTCTCTCCCCGGTTGATCCGAGGGCCCTGGGCCCCAAAACGGACTATACACGGTACATCTCAGCATTGTTTTCACCCGAGGTACCCACGCGCCTACATTGCGAAGGCATGCGACATTGGTCACGGGCGCGCGAACGCGGGACGTGGTGACCTCCCTGGCTTTTGCCTCCCGCCCTCTCGTCTTCTCCTGAAGGCGAGGAGAAGAAGAGAGGAGAAGTCCAAGAGCTCTCAAGCTCCTTGCAAGACGCCACGGCGGCCACTTTTCCGCCCAAATTTGAGGTGTGCATGGATGTGGGTAGCATTGAGGGTTTGGACCCGCCGCGCGGCGGTGTATTGGGGAAAGATGGGCTTTGATTCGCATCCTTTGACCTTGGTGGGGCCTCCGTTTCAAACGCCTTCCTCTTTAGCGACATGGAAAAGTGTTGTTCTATACCTTGGGGGACAAAGCCAAGCGCTCTCATTTGAAGGTTCTTACGGAGTCGACAAAGGTAAAATAGATTCCTATAAAGTGGCTGTAATCAGGTAATGCATGTTGCCGGACTTTCGTACGTTTGTGAGCTTGGTCTCCCATTCCCGTCATCTGATGACCCTGCGAGAAACCGCTCCACTCGTCGTGAGCCTACGGTCAATGCTATGCTAATGACCTTGAACTTGATGAATCTCTTTCCCCCCTACACGACGGCTCTACCATGTTCAAAGCACAGGCAAGTGACATGTCTCAACCGCCCCCTCCTCCTTACGGGGCTCCCCGGGGACCGCCCATGAATGGCATGCCGCCACAGCAGCCCTTTCAGCAGCAGCCCCCCCCTCCACGCCCCTCTGGCCCGGCACCAGGCTACCCTGCGTCATCACAACACTATCAAAGCCCTTATCAGCAATCGCCGCAGCAGCAGCAGCCGCCGCCGCACCAGCAACAACCTCTGGGTCCTGGCACGTACGGGCGCCCTCAACCTCTCGGTCCCCGCTCGGCTGCCGTCGGCGGCCCCCAAAATGCGGCTCCCCCCCGACCCGGACCAGGCGCACCTTACACCATGATGCAGCCTCCAAGGGGCGGGCCTCCTCTTCCGCACATGCCGCCACCCTCCCCCGGGCCCGCGGTGGCGGGTGGGATGCTGAAAGGCACCCCCGCTGTTCCTCCCAGCCACGGCCTTCAACAAGCGCAGTACCAGCCATCGAAAGGGCCAGTCGGACCGCCCAAAGTCCCCGGCACCCCACCACCCGTGTACGGTCAGTCCATGCCCCCTCCACCCCCGGCCCGCGGACCCCACGGGCTGGCCCCTCCATCCTCCCCTCCGCACCTCTCCGCGCCGGGAGGGCCCCCTCCCCCAATGCGCCCGCACTCGGCCGTGCAGGGCATGGGAGGGGGCCGCCCGATGCCCCTCCCCCCCTTCCGCCAGCCTACCACGCCACTCGCCCTCCACGCCCCCCCGCCC